ATGTTTTTTATTTTCTTTTTTACCCCTTTCTCCTTTTTCATTTTATTTTTTCTTCTTCTTTCCTCTTCTCTAAGTCTTTTCCTTTTTTTTTTAACTTTATTCATTGGCTTCTCAGCTCCTACATACTAAGTGCCTAGACAGGTCCAGGTGAACAGGATCCAAACATCTGAATATGATTAGGGTCAGAATATCCACCTATTCCCACTGAATCTGATCTACAGAGTAAAAATGTAACAGAAGAGAGACTGTAGATCACCTCCTCCTGCATGCCTCTGAACGCTCAGATTGAACTTCAAAAATTAGGAAGAAAGCACCATCCATCAGATGACTAGAAATCACCACAGGGTCACAAGAAATATAGGAAAGCAAGAAAATACATCTGATCCAAAGGAAAAGAATAACTCTTCTGCATCCTCAGACAGTACAATGAAACTCATGGAAATGTCTGATAAAAAATTTATAATATTCATAGTGACAAAGCTAACAGAGATGGAAGAGAAGAGAGACAATGAACTGCAGAAGAAGTAGAAGGAGCCAATGAGTTCCAGGAGGTGAGGAAATTCTTGCAAGATCTTAAAGAAGAAATATACACTGTAAAAAAGAATCAGGTAGACCTATTAGAGATGAAGGCTATAATACAGGAAGCCAAAATCTCCCTTGAAAGTATTAAAAGCAGACTAGATCATACAGAAAACTGAATCTCAGATGTAGAAGATAGAATCGCTGGCCTAGACAAATCCACCATGAAGACTGAGAAAATTGCCCCCAAAATGAGAATAATATACAAGAAATACTAAATACCATTAAACATCCAAACATCTGGATAATTGGTATCCCAGAAGGTGAAGAGACTCATAAAGGTATTGATAATCTATTCCATGAAATCCTGCAAGAAAACTTTCCGAACCTAGAGAGGCATTCAAAGATCCGATCCCAAGAAATACAAAAGACCCCAAATAGAATCAACCCAAGAAGATCTTTTCCAAGACATATTATAGCCAGATTGACCAAGTCCACAGACAGACAAGATACTAAGATTGGCAAGAGAGGAAACATCAAGTTACCTACAAAAGATATCCCAATAGACCAACAACAGACCTCCCATTGGAAATTATGCAAGCAAGGAAAGAATGGGAAAATATATTCAAAGTGTTAAGGGAAAAGCAATTTCAGCCAAGAATACTGTACCCGGCAAGATTATCATTCATTTGGGAAGAAAAGACAAGAACATCGTCAGATAAACAAAACCTGAAAGAATTTACCAGCACCAGACCAGATCTCTAAGAAGTTCTTAAGTGAGTGCTGTACCAGGAAAGTTAAACACAGACACAGAAGTAAGAGTTCAAAAACTTAAGAAAAGGGCCAACTTAATCGTAGGGATGTCTTGGAGTTGAATATTATATCCCAGAATTTAATCAGGAAAATTGAACCACAACAGAAGACAGATTAAGTACATGAGACTGAACTGGTGAAATAGTATTGTTTGACTTTTTGCTAAAATTTTGATGATTTTCTTCTAGACTTTGTTTTCCAGTTTTCAGGATTTTTGTCCTATCTTGAGCTGCAGATAGGTTCATGCACCTACCATTTGACAGAATTCTAACCTGTTTCCTGGCTTTAAGTTTTAAGCAAAATTCCTTAGCATTTCTTTGATTTATTAAAGCTAAAACTCCTTTTTCTTGAAATTAAAAAAATATATTAAACAATACCTATTTAAAGATCGTAGTAAGCTATACAGCATCAGCTAGGTGCTACCTTATAGTACATTCATTCCACTCAGAGTTTCGCACCTAAAGTCAGACATGTATTCACTGATATGTATATACCAGCTGAACTTGCAGTTGAAAGTAGTTAGATTATTTAAGAAATTTTGTGAATCAATAAAATGTGGGGGGAAAAAGGAATGGAAAACAATTGTAGACACCTGAGATAGTGTGGGAGGAGGGTGGGAAATGGCAGAGGGTAAGAAATAGGGGTAAAGTATATATACACACACATATATATGTACATATATATGAAACTAGAAATGGAAAATTATTGACAATAACATGCATGATTAAGGCACTGTGCAGTAAATTCTGGATGGGAAATCACATTTTGTATGCTGTGACGATGCTCAGGGAATGGATGTAAATTAATTCATTAATTTTTTAAAAGTTTCAGAAAATAAATTCATGAAAAAAATAAAAAATGAAAAATTTTTAAAAGACTATTTTCAGTATGATCCTAATATTATGTGTGCATGTGTACATACATGAATATTAAAGGACTTTAAAAAGTCTGGAAAATGGAATGAAAGTACAAGTTTATTTTGGTGCAAAAGGGTATTTTATTTTATTTTTTTATTTTTATTTTTTTAAGAGGTTTTTCGCTATAGGGCACGTACGCTCGCCAGACAGAGACAGAGAGACAGAAAGCGAGAAATCACCCCCCAGGGGGGATGGTCACGCCACAATCCCTTCTCCTCCATTCTCCTCTCAGGATCTTGGGCATGCACGCACACGCGCCCGGCGTGAGTTTTAAGCCACCGGGTCCGGGACACGAACCGTGGTCGACTACATGGGAGTCCAGCGACATAGCCATTACGCTAACTGCTGGTTCCCCAAAAGGGTATTTTAAATCCATGCATAGTTTTCATAATATGCATTTCCATGAACGTTTTGAAGACCTCCCCAGTACCACCACCACCTCTTGTGTGGGTGTGTATATGTTTACACAAGGAAAGACTGGAGGGAAATATGGGGTCGTTGGGAAAGTCACGACGCATTTTTTCATAGAAAGCAGGTCATGACGTTCCCAGTGACCTAACACATCCAGATCTTAGGAGCACATGCCTCCTGGCTCAATGGCATGATCAGATCTCATGGGCACTGCTCCAAGTGCTGTCACGTGGCATGGACGCTAGCGTACCTTCGGGAAATACATACTCCGGGAGAGATGGCAGGGTCTAAATTCCTCCACATTTTTCTATCTTTTTTTTGTTTGCAACCACTGAAGAGGGGCAGGATGTTAATGGAGATACTAGCCAGAGTGTTTTCTTCCCACACGGCCAGCTGCATGTCTGCTCATTGCGCTGAGACCTCCATGCCTGGCCCAAGTCATAACAGGAGGAGGGCACACAGGGAACAACCGCTGGGCTTTGGAGGTCAGTGGCCACTGACCCAGGCATATGGCAGCCTTGGGAAGCGGATATCCCTCAGGGAACTGACATCCCCACTCTGCCCTCATCCCCTGTGGTGGTGCAGCAAGAGAGGGGCCAAGACGAGAGAGTGGGGCTGTGCCTTGATGGTTGTGCCTCTCAAGGTGGGCTGTGAAGGGGCAGGAGGAAGATGCAAGGGACGATGGGGTAGGAGGAGGCCTGGGCAGGAGAGAAGCCGATGGACCGCTGGTCCCACAGCCAGCACGGAGCAGTATGTGCAGAGCCCCAGGGAGCCTTCTCTAGTGCCCGGCACCATCACATGCAGATGGCCAGGTGTCCCTGAGACCCCAGCACTTGGCATGGGTTAGGGGATGATGACAGGAGACTGTCCCGAATGAGGAAAGCTTTTCAAACCACAGCACTTCCAAGGACAAATGTCACTGCGGTATCTGGTGGAGCCCCCTAGAAGTGGCCACTCTGTTCTACCAGGCAGAAAGGGCCCCTGTGAAGTCATATTCTAGAAACATAAAACACATTTCCTGTCCAGCTGAGTTAGAGTGGGTAAAATCCTTCTTTTACAGAGTCCACATGAATGCGTTTGGCAGCTAGAGACCCAGGCTGGCTCCTGTGAGCCCTGCAGGGCTCCAACTCATGGTCTCGCGCGAGGCCTGCGACTTAATTTATCAGCATTATTTTCTTACACCAACCTAGTGTATATTTAAAGGCCAAAAGATACTTAGGCGCACAGTGCACTCTGACCTCCGTGCTGGCACCTCCCCTGTCTTGGCCCGTTCTATCTCATATTAATGAAAACACACCAATAGCTGGCCGAGATTTACCGGCCTGATCGCAGGAGCTGTTCACAGGTGCAACCACCCGCCCACACAATGCTGGTTTAACTGTGCCCTCATGGGCACTCACTCCTGCTCCCTCTCAATACCAGGACCTGCCTTCCAGACCATGCAGCTGTCCAAGACTGGGTCAGGGCCCTGATCCTACCCCAAGGCTGCAGCTCAGGCAACACTAGCTCTCAGCTCCACCACTGGGGAGACTCAGCCCCTGAGACCAGGAGGAAGGTAGGTGGCCCAAACTCTAGGTGCTCGGGTGCCCCGTGGTTGGTTTTCCTGGGGGATGTCAGTGCCCTTCCTGCATGCTGCCCAGCCTGTTTCCCCTGCTGCCTTCCAGGCCCCGAATTTGGTGGTCAGTAGCACTGAACATCCCATCATAACTATCTAGCTTAGAGTAAACATCGAATGTTACAGAACCTGGCCCCAGCCAGGGACATAGTCACCTCAATTCCAAATGTGACAGGTGGCCACTCTGCCCACTGCATGTCCCTGGCAATGGGGAGTCCTATACTCTGCACAGTCCTTTCCAGCCCTGCACAGCTCTGACTAGGAGAATGTCTCTTTTCATTGGGCTGGGATAAGTCTCCCACGATCCCCTTCCCTACCCTGGCAGGTCACACCTTACCCGCAAGTCCACAGGCCCTTCTGCTGTCCCTAAGCCCACAAAGACTTGCGGACAGCGACCGGGACTCCCAAGGCTGCTCCTTTCCAGTATCCTCACCGATCAGGCCTCCTGACCCTTTAGAACTACCCGATGGTATCCCCATCCTGTTCCCAGGGAAGGGTCCAGAGTGGAGCCCAAGCCTAGAAGATTCTAAGCTGGGCTTAACAATAGAAAGTCCGTCACCATCCTTATCCCAGGAAAGACACTGGCTAATGTGGCCACCGGTGAGGCACTGTCCTCTCTGTGCTTACGAGCCTGGTGTTAGCACTCCCAGTGCACAGTAAGCCATGGAAGATGTTCCGTGCCAGCTCGGAGCCTCCTGTGGCCCTGGCAGCCCGCCCTTGCTCACCCTTGCAGGACCTCCCGTTGGCGGTCATGGCGTAGCCTTGCTCTGGGCACGCGCACTGGTAGCTCCCTGGCACGTTGAGACAGCGGAAGGTGCAGAGAATGCCGGCGCCCTGAGCACATTCGTCGATGTCTGCCGAGAAAGGTTGGGCCCCTGGTGAATCCCGTCTACCCACAGGTACCAGTCACCGATGGCTGGTCCCTGTCACGGCCTCGGAGCTTAGGGGCCCATTTTACAATTGAGGACAAGTGGGCTCAGAGCGTAGAGCTTTGCGGGACCAGCAGTTAGCGTAATGGCTATGTAACTGGACTCCCACGTAGTCGACCGCAGTTCGAGTCCCGGACCCGGTGGCTTAAATTCATGCCGGGCGCATGTGTGTGTGCGCCCAAGATTCCGAGAGGAGAATGGAGGAGAAGGGATTGCGGCGTGGCCATCCTCCCTGGGGAGTGACTTCTCACTTGCTATCTCTCTGTCTCTCTCTGTCTGTCTGGTGAGCGCACACGCCCTATATCAAAATAGGGCCATGCCACAGCTGCTGCCACCAGCTAAGGACCAGTCAGGGCTGGTCATGGGCCTGGGCACTCTCACTACAATATCTAACTAAATTCTTTATCCCTATTTACGGAGTAGGAGCCTCAGGTCAGAGTAGAGAGGCGGTCTGCCCAAGGGCACATAGCCAGGAAGTCGCAGGGCTGGGACTTTAACGGATCTGATCCAAAGGCTTCTGTGTGACCCTGGCACATGGAGCGGGAGTGCCTCCCTGGGAGGGGACCCTGGGCAGAGGAGAGCACTCACCTGTGCAGGTGTGCCCGTCCTCGCCCAGCTGGTAGCCTCGCCGGCAGTAGCACTGGTAGGAGCCGTAGATGTTGGCACACTCCTGGCTGCAGCGCTGGGCCTCACACTCGTTCACATCTGTGGGGACACCAACCAGAGTCACGGCTGCTGGACCATGGGCTGGGCTCCCAGTTACCTACAGCCTGCTCGAGAGAGGGAACTGGAGGTCCAGAAAAGGGCAGGGGCCCCAGGGCATGCAGCTGAGGCAGGGTGAGGCTAAGGCCTGTGGCCTGGAGGATACAGTTGCAGGACAGGCTCAGATACCCCACCGGGAATTACACGCTGTCCTGTGAGGTCCCATAGCACCGGTATAGCCGGCTCTCACCGGTGTCACCAAGCAGCCTCCTGGAGGGCTAGGGCCTCACTTGCCCTCGTTGGTCCTAAAGGGACCACACTGCAGAGACTGGCACTGCTTGGGGCTGGGGACTCGCTGGTGTGTGTGAGAGGGTGTGATGGTGAATGTGTGAGTGAGCGAATGAGGAATCACTTAAGGGCTTAGATGAAATATCTCCTGGGCTCTGAGATTCTTGAAGTTGGGGACTTGTCTTTCATTCAGCCACCAAAGAACTGCTGAGCCCCTGTGCTGGACCTGGGTTACAGCCAAACAAAACAAACAAAATCTCCACATTGTGGAGTCCACATGCATGTGTGTGCTGGAGGAGGGAAGGGAGAGGAGGCACCTATAAAAATAAGCAAAGGGGGGACCAGCAGTTAGCATAATGGCTATATCACTGGACTCCCACGTAGTCGACCGCGGTTCGAGTCTCGGACGCAGTGGCTTAAATCTCATGCCAGGCGCGTGTGCGTGCGTGCCCAAGATCCCGAGAGGAGAACGGAGGAGAAGGGATTGCGGCGTGGCAATCCCCCCTGGGGGGTGATTTCTCACTTTCTGTCTCTTTGTCTCTCTCTGTCTTTCTGGCAAGCGCACACACCCTATAGCAAAAACCTCTCAAAAAAAAAAAATTAAATTAAAAAAAAAAGCAAAGGGGCCAGCAGGTAGCATGGTGGTTGGGGCACTGGACTCCCACGTGGTCAACTGTGGTTTGAGTCCTGGACCTGGCAGCTTAAAAATCACGCTGGGAATGTATGCGTGCATGCCCAAAATCCCAAGAGGAAAATGGAGGGAGGGGGACTGAGGCATGGCCATCTCCCCTGGGGATGACTTCTCACTTTCCCTCTGTCTCTCTTCAGCGAGCACACACACCCTATAGCTTTAGCTAATCAATCAAAACAATCAATCAAGGGAACCAGCAGTTAGCGTAATGGCTATGTCGCTGGACTCCCACGTAGTCGACCGCGGTTCGAGTCCCGGACCCGGTGGCTTAAAACTCACGCCAGGCGCGTGTGCGTGCATGCCTAAGATCCCGAGAGGAGAACGGAGGAGAAGGAATTGCGGCGTGACCATCCCCCCTGGGGGGTGATTTCTCGCTTTCTGTCTCTAGGTCTCTCTCTGTCTGTCTGGCGAGCGCACGCGCCCTACAGTGAAAATCTCTCAAAAAAAAAAAAAAACAATCAATCAAAAAACAAGCAAAATGATTAGTATGCCAAAACATGCTGAGCATCATGGGAAAAAATCAAAATCAAGCGGAGGAAGGGGATGATAAGTATGTTGGGGTGGGCTGTGGTTTTAAAATGAGGAGGAGAGACATCGCGAGGAGGGACAGGGACATCTGGGCTTCTCAGGGGGCAGGTGCAGTATAAGCAAAAGCCCTCAGGAGGGAGTATGCTGTGGTTCATTCAAGGAACGGTGAGGAGGCTAGGACAGACGAGCGAGAAGGGAGTGGGAGGTGGAGACGTCGGATCAGGCCGGTCTTTGCAGGCCACTGTCTGACCCATGGCTAAAGCCTCAGGACCTCCCAGCATGCACAGCATTCACTCGTAAAAAATAATGCCATGAGGGGTCAGCAGATGGCGTAGCGGTTACACCCTGGACTCCCTCCTGGTCAACAGTGGTTCAAGTCCCAGACACATTGGCTTGAAACTCAAGCCAGGAGCATGTGCAAGTATAGCCAAGATACCAGGAGGAGAATGGAGGAGAAGGGATTGCAGTGTGGCCATCCTGCCCGGGGCGTGATTTCTCACTTTCCCTCTCACTGTGTCTGTCTTTCTCTCTTCCCAGCGAGTGCACACGCCCTAAGACAAAAACCTTTATGAAAAGAGAATGCCATGAATGGGGACCAGCAGTTAGCATAACTGCTATGTCACTGAACTCCCATGTAGCTGTCCGCGGTTCGAGTCCTGGACCCGGTGGTTTAAACTCATGCCGGGCATGTGTGCGTATGTGCCCATGATCTTGAGAGGAGAATGGAGGAGAAGTGATTGCGGCATGGCCATCCCCCCTGGGGGGTGATTTCTCGCTTTCTGTCTCTCTCTGTCTTTCTGGCAAGCGCATGCGCCCTATAGCAAAAACCTCTCCAAAAAAAAAGATAATGTCATGAATGATGAATGATTAGCCTATCTCCTCTACTGCACTCTGAGCTTCTGCCGGGCCAGAGCCCACACTGGATTCATCTTTGAGTTCCTACCATCTAGCCAGTGAAAGGGGTAAGAATCAGAAGAATGAAGACCACTCAGTTACGCCCGGGAGGTTAGAGGCCCCATCCGCACAGCTCTCTGCACTCAGGCTGACGTGGAAGTGTTGCCCATAGGTGTGGACAGCACCAAAGAATGAATGTGTGAGTGAGTGAAGAGACAAGTCTGTCCAGCGGAGCCTGTCCAAATGCCATCTGCCACACCCAGGCCTGGTCAGACTCCCCTGCCCTGGACTGGCCCTAACTCATGGGAGGCCAGGTCTTCAGCCAGCCAGGTGACTAGGAAAGGACACGCAGCCTCCCAGGGTCTCAGAAGACTCACCTACCCCCAGAAAAACAAGTGCCTCTAGGCTGAGAAGAGGTTAGGAAGGATGATACCAGGAAATGGGGTGACCCCATGGCCCCTTGGCACAGCCCCACCCTGCCCCCTCGCTAAGCAGCCTCGTGGCTTCCTCCTCCATCAGTCCCCACCAGGCCTGGCCCACCCGTGCCACAAACGTCAGAGACAGCCTGACAGCGGCCTTCATCAGCCGTGGATGCAGCCCACACGGGGCCTCAGAGGTCAGCGCGTGGCAGGTCCAGCCTGGGCATATGCTTGGTTTAAATCAGCACATTAAAGGTTGAAATCAATCAACAACATGCACAACTAGCAGATTTGGGACCAGCCAGGTGGCATGTGGTTAAGGAGGCTAGATCCCACACAGGTGGTGTGTGGTTTGGGTCCTGGACCTAGCAGTTTGGGCTTAAAACCCAAGAGGACAACAGGAACAGAGGAGAAGGGATTTCAGTGTGATCATCCCCTCTGGGGGGTGCGCTCTCTCTCTCTCTCTCTCTCTCTCTCTCTCTCTCTCTCTCTCTCAGTGAGCACACGTGCCCTATTGCAAATTAAAAAAGAAAACATCGCCCATTCCCCATACCCTGCTTGCCGCCAAGATTGCTGTGCCATTGTGACCCACTATAACCTGCCCCACCAAAGGCTGGGTCAGCTCTGAGGCTGCCGTTCCCGCCGCAGGGAGCTCCTGTTTGGGGGGTAGCCAGGGCCCTAGAAACCCAGGAAACTCAAGGTAGGAAACGGCAGGCCCGGGGGAGGCCAGGGAGAGTTTAGACGGACGGGAGAGAAAGGCAGGTGCGGGACAGTGTGAGTGAAGGTGTGGGGGAGAGGTGGCAGGCTGGGGCTCTATGTGGGAACCCCAGGGCCTGCCAGGACTGTGCTGGGGGGCAGCCGGGTCAGGGCGCGGTACCTTCACAGTGCTTGCCGTCGGCAGCCAGCAGGAAGCCCGAGGCGCAGGAGCAGCGGTAGGAGCCCAGCGTGTTCTCACACGTGTGCTGGCACAGGCGGCCCGGTGAGGCCCAGCATTCGTTCACGTCTGCGGGCGGGTGGGCAGGACAAGGTGACAGGACCATGGGGACGGTGGAAGGGACCGAAAGCCAGCTCCCTCCACCCCCAGGCCCAGAAAGAAGGACAGGGAAAGGCCTGGCCAGGGGTGGCAGGGAGGCAGCAGGAATAGTGGGAGGGGGTGC